AAAAAAAAAGACAAAAACAACAAAATTATTAAAACATTAAAATTATACTAAAATGACATTGAAGGTATTTCATCTTTGTAAAATAACATCTATTGAATAATTTTGCAGGGCCATTACAATTGTGACAACTTTTGAACAGAAGTTTTGGGTCAGGAAGCACAGGAAATCATATTATTGCAAGGCTGTAACCACATATTTATGGGTGACCGAATGTAATTTCAGAATAAACCATTAAAAACCACTTATCATCTAAGTGTTAATGAATATTAGGGCAGAATATCTATGTTGGTTACAGTCCTGTTGATTAAAGCTGCTGAGAAACCGACATGCATTGTGTGCGTTTAATATACAGTGACAGCGACACAAAGCTTAAGGACACGAGAGAAAAGCTTTTCTCACTCCCACACATTACTGGCAAAAAAGCAATAAACGCAGTATGCCACAGACCTTGATCAGTTTGGAGGCGGGAACATTCGAATATGGCTGTAATCAGTATCAACACTTTTGGCACATTATTTAAAAAAAACAGCAAGCTAAACTCTGTAAACAAAATGTTACCGACCACTATGAATGACATTGAGTCCACAAGCGAATTCTTTTCTTCTGGCTGTCGCTCGAACAGCAAGGTAGAGCAACCGAGCTTCCACGGAGATGAACTGGCTGCTGGGTAGTAACCTAGCAAGATAACTCGAGGTTGAGCATCTAATCAATGTAAGCCATGTATTAATGAATCCGTTCACAAGAGGGAAGTGTATTTATTATGTCCCATTTATTACAAGCAGATGAGACTAGTGCTCTGTTCACATCTTTTTTCCCCAGTGAAAACTAGCTTGAACTATTATGTGGATTAAAGAACGTTCTAGATTAAGAGCTGTGTTGCTAAATAACGGATACATGGGGGGCATACCAACAGGCCTGATACAGATGGGGATCTGGTTCAAATCTCCTACTGTGACAGAAAATGAGGTTCGGGTTAGTCAGAGGTTTCTTTTTAGAGGACTTGCATGATCTTTAACCTTTGGGATTCACAAGATACAGGGGCAGTAGCTATGATAATAAATACTTTAATAGGATGTAAACGTCAGATATCGTTTTGTACGTATAAGCTCTAAAATAGTGAAACAATATGTACACGAATACACACTATGACTGACATGTAAGCATAGCAAAAACTTTGGGGAAAATATTAAGTGCAAAACTTTCTGTGTGATTATAGGGAGGCAGTGGATACACAGTGACAGCAAATGGCTAATAGTTAAATCATGATTAATCACAGTTTATGACTAGAAGTACACCATAGGCATGCAGCACTTAAAATCAACATGAAATCAAAATTGTTTACTTTCTTAATACATGTTAATGTTATGAACAATTCATCCGTGCACTTTCCAACTTTCTCCATCACTGACTCAACTTTTCAGCCTCTAGTGCTCATCAAGGATGCATTTATTTGTTCAAAAATACTGTAAAAACAGTAATATTGAGACACATTATTACAATTTAAAATAACTGTTTTGTATTGTAATTTATTTTAAAATGTAATTTATTCCTGTGACAGCAAAGCTAAATGTTCAGCATCATTACTCCAGTTTTCAGTGTCACATGATCCT